GATGATGAATTTTTATTTCCTGTCACGCGTTTCGTCGTGTTTTCTGGCGCTAGGCAAACCTTCGTCAGAACGCACCTATACAGAAGAGGAGAATGTCACGTGTCAACATCATATATACCAATCACAATTTCTATGATATGCAAAGTCAAGACAGTCTAAGCTGGAAACACATGATAAAACGCCACACTAAAGGGCACATGCAAAGAGGCAACGCTAAGAATATCAATATTCCAGATACCAATTATAGGTACCCAAGCTTTTAATCAGTGGTCATGAAGCAGGAAAAATACTTACTATGGTAGCAATACATGCCATCACCCAACCACCCATCTCGGCATACACATGTTGGGGTCGCGCCTTCAGTATCGCAGTAAGCGTTTAGGTTACACATGTCAGTGCACTCACCTAAACATGAATTTAAATGAAAAATAACAATAACATGGAAATATCAGTGACACGCATCATAATATGAGTGTGGTGATAGGATGTACTAGCTGCAGGCGTTGATTATTCAACGTTTTAACTGTTGATCCTAGCACCTTACTAGCATATTTCCGCTTATTATCATCTTATAAATGTACTATCTTCATCTAATTATCTTGCTCTCAGTAAAGTGGCGCATGTTCCTAAAACAACCAGGGTAACTCGATCACTGACTGTAACAATCACTTAAACATATTATGGGTTGCTCCCTAAATTACATATAAGCCTAAAAATATTAATAAATCTATCATCACGAATCACATCTGACTCTCCTACATATCCAGCAGTATTAAAGCTGTAGCATGGCATATGTAGTTGCCAAGTAAATAATAATGACGAAATAATCATAGTAGGTAATTTGTCATTATCAAGTATAAATATAATAAGGAGTGTATAATAGAGAGATGAGATTGTCAGCCTTTAGCTCTCTGTACTAGTTGGAGTGCATATACATGCATTTGTTAAATAAATTGATCACCGTACGGATAGAAAGGGATTAGGATTATTAGTAAAATTATATTATGTATATTCAATTAAGTAAAAACTATAGTAGAATTACCTGTAACTTGAAAGTAAATATCTGATATTGCAATTGGGTCCGATGCTAACGTGTCTATGACAAGAATATTGTAATAGCGAAACTCCATTGGTAAAGAAAAAAATCCAAAGTAGTGTGTAAGAGTAGAGTCGGTACTGTTCGATACAAGAATCGGTCCGCCTAGATTTATCCAAGGACCCGCGGGAGCGTTACTAGCTTTCATTTGGATAGTATTTACGCTACCCATCTCGTATTTGATACAGATACCGGTGGCGCTAATAGGCGGTACAAAATCGAACGTAATCTCCTCGTTTGTGTTGGAATTAGCAATCCACTTGGTCATGGGGTTGTTATCCATGGCATTTTTAATGCAGTGCACCGAGGCGGGACAATTGCTGCCTTGGTTTGCTCCGACGACCGCGCCCGTGAATTCAGATGTTGCACTCATGGGGATGGTGATGTCAGAGATCCAGTGCGTCGCATCCACGCCTAAATAAAAGATATATATATATATAAATAAAGAGGGAGAGAGAGAGAGAGAGAGAAAGAAAAAGAAAGAGGAGAGAGAGATAGTGTTTGTTAGTGCGTGCGTGCGTGCGTGTGTGTGTGTGTGTGTGTGTGTGTGTGTGTGTGTGTGGTGTGTGTGTTTGTGTGTGTGTGTGTGTGTGTGTGTGTGTTGTGTTGTGTGTTGTGCTGTGTGTGTGTGTGTGTGTGTGTGTGTGTGTGTGTATGTGTGTGTGCGTGTGTGTGCGTGTGTGTGGCGTGTGTGTGCGGTATGTGTGTGTGTGTGTATATGTGTGTATGTGTGTGGTGTGTGTGTTTTGTGTGTGAGTGTGTGCGCGCGGCGCGCGGTGTGTGGTGTGTGTGTGTGTGTGCGTGTGTTTTGAGAGAGTGAGGGCGCGGGTACAGGGGGAGACAGGGGTAATAAAGACAGGTAGAGAGAACGATCGTATGCCGCACATATGGTCATGTTGTTCATTTGTTACATTTACTTATTATCAAGAGCTAATAAATACATCAAGAACAAGTATTATTAACTTTTGTTATTATATATAATAATATATATATATATATATATATTATATATATATAATATACATATATATATACACTATATACACACACACATATATTCAACCTGTTCTGCTCGCATCTATGAAAATCGACATACGCATATACGCTCTCCTATGACACTATTTGTCATAGGAAGATTCTTCCTATGACAAATATTGTCATAGGAGATATGCTCGTATTTGTCATAGGAGTCTTGAAATCTGATTGGTCTGTTATTTTAACAACAAAATAAAGGCGGCGAGAATCAACTTCGTTCCGTTTTCAGCTGAAATTCACTGCTTGCGTTACTAATATTGTTAAAAGCTCCTATGATGCACACAACAATGAAAATTTATCTAAGCAAGTTATATAAAATCTTGTATCGCGTCGTATATGTGGTGCTATTTGTTCACAAATAGGCCTAAATGTTTTGTTAGTCAGAGAACAGATGAGATATGGACTTCGCTTCATTAAAACATGAAAAGGTTCTAATTTCAAGAACCAATCGTGCATGTTTCTTTTTTTCAAAAACTACATTATCATGCCTATAGATGCTTTTGAACCATTGCGATTACATTGAAAATATAAATCTGTTACGTAAATTCATATTGATCCGAACTAACCGTACGATGGCGTTGTCAGCACCACTACCACTAGTTACCAGCGCGGCAAAAAAGGTTCTTCAAGTGATTACAAAACTGGAGAAGACGGGGCTAGAAGACAGTGTACAGTGTAGCTCCAGGAAACGGTATTGCTAGGGTTAGAATTGACGTTAGTCACACAGCCTGGTCGGGTTATGTACAGTGATGAGTCCAACACGTTCTAAAATCCGGTGGTTTTGGTTAGTATTGCCACAATAATAGCCAATATTAGTTAAGGATGTTGCTCCTGCGACGGTACCGTCGCCGATTATTTTTCTCTTAAAGTCACGGTACTGACGGTACTGACGCGTGATTGGTTGAGCTTGTTTTCTTGCGATATACATAGCACATCCAAATTTTTTATTTCAATATGTGGCAGCAGCGCAACTGGTAGAGCGCTTGCCCCAAGTATGAATGGTCGCGGGATCGAATCCCATCCGTTTTCTAATTATTTTTCTGTTTTCTGTATTTTTCTATCTTTATCTGTTTAACATTTTTAACATTAACATTAACATAACATTAACATAAATATTAACATTATTTATTTACAACATTTTAATAACAACAATTAATTTTTACAACAATTAAAAATTAAATTTTATTAATTTAATAGAGTTAGGGTTAGGGTTAGGTTAGGGTTAGGGTTGGTGCAAATCCACTTTAGGCACCTTATATCACGAAGTGATGCACAGATTTCTGTGTATCACCCACTGATGCACAGACTTTCCTTATATCAAGGATTGATGCACAAATGTTTAACTGCCCACATAGCCATGCTAAAAAGCGCCACCTATCGGACAAAAATACTACTATTATACCACTAAAAATTATGTTGTGTATTTTTATTTTTATTATATGATTTATTATTAATTAAACTATTAATTACTAATTACCAATTACACTATTGTTTATTAAGTACACTATTAATTACTAATTACACTGTTAATTACTAATTACACTATTAATTACTAATTATTAATTACACTATTAATTACGAGAGAGGAAGAGGAAGCCATGATGGTTAGAGGGAGAGAGGAAGCCGTGATGGTTAGAGGGAGAGAGGAAGCCGTTATGGTTAGAGGGAGAGAGGAAGCCGTGATGGTTATAGAGAGAGAGGAAGCCGTGATCGTTAGAGGGAGAGAGGAAGCCATGAGGGTTAGAGGGAGAGAAGAAGCCGTGATGGTTAGAGGGAGAGAGGAAGCCGTGATGGTTAGAGGGAGAGAGGAAGCCGTGATGGTTAGAGGGAGAGAGGAAGGGGAGCCGTGATATACACTATTCTGTGCATCACCTCGTGATACTTGTCAGGTATACGGTGCGTAAACTGAACTTGTGTTTTTAAAAGGCCAATCTGTGCATCATCTCGTGATGTACACTATTCTGTGCATCATCTCGTGATGTACACTATTCTGTGCATCACCTCGTGATACTTGTCAGGTATACGGTGCGTAAACTGAACTTGTGTTTTTAAGAGGCCAATCTGTGCATCATCTCGTGATGTACACTATTCTGTGCATCATCTCGTGATGTACACTATTCTGTGCATCATCTCGTGATGTACACTATTCTGTGCATCACCTCGTGATACTTGTCAGGTATACGGTGCGTAAACTGAACTTGTGTTTTTAAGAGGCCAATCTGTGCATCATCTCGTGATGTACACTATTCTGTGCATCACCTCGTGATACCTTGTCAGGAGAGAGGAAGCCGTGATGGTTAGAGGGAGAGAGGAAGCCGTGATGGTTAGAGGGAGAGAGAGGAAGCCATGAGGGTTAGAGAGAGAGAGAGGAAGCCATGAGGGTTAGAGGGAGAGAGGAAGCCGTGATGGTTAGAGGGAGAGAGGAAGGGGGAAGCCGCGACATGCCTGAGAGAGGAAGGGAGAAGCCGTGATGGTTAGAGGGAGAGGAAGCCGTGATGGTTAGAGGGAGAGAGGAAGCTGTGATGGTTAGAGGGAGAGAGGAAGCCGTAATGGTTAGAGGGAGAGAGGAAGCCATGATGGTTAGAGAGAGAGAGGAAGCCCTGACGGTTAGAGAGATAGAGGAAGCGATGAGGGTTAGAGAGGGAGAGAGGAAGCCATGAGGGTTAGAGGGAGAGAGGAAGCCGTGATGGTTAGAGGGAGAGAGGAAGCCATGAGGGTTAGAGAGAGAGGAAGCCATGAGGGTTAGAGAGAGAGAGGAAGCTGTAATGGTTAGAGGGAGAGAGGAAGGGGGAAGCTGCGACATGCCTGAGAGAGAAGGGAGAAGCCGTGATGGTTAGAGGGAGAGAGGAAGCCGTGATGGTTAGAGGGAGAGAGGAAGCCGTGATGGTTAGAGGGAGAGAGCGTATGGTAGAGGGAGAGAGGAAGCTGTGATGGTTAGAGGAGAGAGGAAGCCGTAATGGTTAGAGGGAGAGAGGAAGCCATGATGGTTAGAGAGAGAGAGAAGCCCTGACGGTTAGAGAGATAGAGGAAGGTTAGGGTTAGAGAGGGAGAGAGGAAGCCATGAGGGTTAGAGAGAGAGGAAGCTGTGATGCTTAGAGGGAGAGAGGAAGCCGTGATGGTTAGAGGGAGAGAGGAAGCTGTAATGGTTAGAGGGAGAGAGGAAGGGGGAAGCCGCGACATGCCTGAGAGAGGAAGGGAGAAGCCGTGATGTTAGAGAGAGAGAGAGGAAGCCATGATGGTTAGAGCGAGAGAGGAAGCCATGAGGGTTAGAGGGAGAGAGGAGCATGAGGGTTAGAGGGAGAGAGGAAGGGGGAGCCGTGATGGCTGGAGGGAGAGAGCAAGGGGGAGCCGTGATATACACTATTCTGTGCATCACCTCGTGATACTTGTCAGGTATAAGGTGCGTAAACTGAACTTGTGTTTTTAAGAGACCAAATCTGTGCATCATCTCGTGATGTACACTATTCTGTGCATCACCTCGTGATACTTGTCAGGTATACGGTGCGTAAACTGAACTTGTGTTTTAGAGGCCAATCTGTGCATCATCTCGTGATGTACACTATTCTGTGCATCATCTCGTGATGTACACTATTCTGTGCATCACCTCGTGATACTTGTCAGGTATAGGTGCGTAAACTGAACTTGTGTTTTTAAGAGGCCAATCTGTGCATCATCTCGTGATGTACACTATTCTGTGCATCACCTCGTGATACCTTGTCAGGAGAGAGGAAGCCGTGATGGTTAGAGGGAGAGAGGAAGCCGTGATGGTTAGAGGGAGAGAGAGGAAGCCATGAGGGTTAGAGAGAGAGAGGAAGCCATGAGGGTTAGAGGGAGAGAGGAAGCCGTGATGGTTAGAGGGAGAGAGGAAGCCGTGATGGTTAGAGGAGAGCGAGAAGCATGAGGCGTTAGAGGGAGAGAGGAAGGCCATGATGGTTAGAGAGGGAGAGAGAGAAATCCATTAGGTTGAGAAAGAGAGAGATGCGCATGAGGGTTAAAGTAGGGAGAGAGGAAGCCGTGATGGTTAGAGGGAGAGAGGAAGCCATGAGGGTTAGATGGAGAGAGGAAGTCGTGATGGTTAGAGGGAGAGAGGAAGGGGGAGCCGTGATGGCTTCCTCTCTCTCTCTAACATCACGGCTTCTCCCTTCCTCTCTCAGCGGCATGTCGCGGCTCCCGCTTCCTCTTCATGGCATGTCGCGGCTTCCCGCCTTCTCTCTCTTCTCTAACCATTACGCTTCCTCTGCTCCCTCTAACCATCATGGCTTCCTGCTCTCCATCTAACGCTCATGGCTTCTCGCTCAATCGCGTCTAACCATCACGGCGTACGTCTTCTCCCTCTAACATATCACGGCTTCTGCTCTCGGGCTCTAACCATCACGGCTTTCGCTCGCTCCCTCTAACATCACGGCTTCTTCTCTCCTCTAATCCCTCATGGCTTCCTCTCTCCTCTAACCCTCGTGCTTCTTTCTTTCTAAACATCACGGCTTCCTGCTCTCGCTCTAACCCTCATGGCTTCGTCCTCTGCCGCTCTAACCATTCACGGCTTCCTCATCTCCCTGCTAACGCTCATGCTTCCTCTCTCTCTCTCAACCCTCAATGTCTTCTCTGCTTCTTCTCTAACGCTGCATGGCTTTCTCTCTCTCCCTCTAACCACCACGGCTTCCTCTCTCCTCTAACCTCATGGCTTCGGCTGCTCTCCCTCTAACCGCTGCAATGGCTTCCTCGCTCCTCCCTCTAACCATCACGGCTTTCTCTCTCCGGCTACGAAAAAAAAAAAAAAAACAAACTAACCATGCACGGCATTCCTCTGCTTCCCTCTAACGCATTCAGGCTTCTTCTCCCATTCTAGGCCTCTAACCTCATGTTCCTCTCTCTCTCTAACCTCATGCTTCTGCTCTCTGCTTTAGCCATGCACGGCTTCCTCTCTCTCTCTAACGCATACTCGGCTTCGCATCTCTCCTGACAAGGTATACCGAGGTGATGCACAGAATAGTTGTACGTCACAGATGATGAGTCAGAATAGTGTACACTCACGAGATGATGCACAGATTGGCCTCTTAAACACAAGTTCAGTTTGACGCACCGTATACCTGACAAGTATGCACGAGGTGATGCACGAATAGTGGTACATCACGAGATGAATGCACAGAACCATAGTTACTGCCCGAGATGATGCAGCCAGAATAGTGTAAATCACGAGATGATGCACAGAATAGTGTACATCACGAGATGATGCACAGATTGGGCCTCTTTTAAAAACACAAGCTCAGTTACGCACGTATACCTGAAAGTATCAGCGAGGTTGAGCAGCAGAATAAGTGTACATCACGAGATGATGGCACAGATTGTTCTCCTTAAAAACAGCAAGTTCAGTTTTACGGCACCTTATACCTGAACAAGTATCACAGAGGTGATGCACAGAATAGTGTATATCAACGCTCCGCCCCTTCCTCTCTCCCTCCAGGCCATCACGGCTCCCCCTTCGCCTCTCTCCCTCAACCCTCATGGCTTCCTCTCTCCTCTAACGCCTGCATAGGCTTCCTCTCTCGGCTCTATACATCATGGCTTCTCTCTCTCTCTCTAAACATCACGCTTCCCCCTTCCCTCTCAGGCATGTCGCAGCTTCCGCCTTCCTCTCTCCTTCTAACCATTCAGCTTCCTGCCTCCCTGTAACCATCACGGTCTTCTCTTCCCTCTAAGCATCACAGCTTCCTCTCTCTCTAACCCTCATGGCTTCCTCTCTCCTCTAACACCATGGCTTCTCTCTCCCTCTAATGATCACGGCTTCCTCTCTCTCTATAACAATCACGGCTCTCTCTCTCCTCTAACCATTACAGCTTCTCTCTTTCTCTAACACTCATGGACTTCCTCTCTCCTCTAACCCTCATGGCTTCTCTCTCGCCTCTAACCATCCATGGCTTCCTCTCTCTCTCTAACGCCATCATGCTTCCTCTCTCCTCTAACCATCACAGCTTCCTCTCTCCCTCTAACCATCACGGCTTCCTCTCTCCTCTAACCATCATGGTTCCTCTCCGTCTAACCATCCATGGCTTTCCTCTCTCGCTCTAATCATTACGGTTCTCTCTCCATCTAACCATCGGCTGGCTTCCTCTCTCCTCTAACCATCAAGGCTTCCTCTTCCTCTCGTAATTAATAGTGTAATTAATAATTAGTAATTAATAGTGTAATTTAGTAATTTACAGTGTAATTAGTAATTAATAGTGTACTTAATAAACAATAGTGTAATTGGTAATTAGTAATAATAGTTTACATTAATATAAACATCATAAGAAATAAAAATACACAACATAATTTTTAGTGGCTATAATAGTAGTATTTTTGCCGGATAGGTGGCGCTTTTAGCATGGCTATGTGGGCAGTTAAACTTTGTGCACTCATCTTGATATAAGGAAAGTGTGTGCATCAGTGGGTGATACACAGAAATCTGTGCATCACTTCGTGATTATAAGGTGCCTAAAGTGGATTTGCACCGTTAGGGTTAGGGTTAGGGTTAGGGTTATCGTATATATCGTATAAAATCGTATATATAATATCGTACCAAAAGCAACGGTAGTTATATTCGCCGATGATGGCGCTGGCATCACTACGGTGAGTTGAAGAGAAAAAATTCGGCGACGTACCGTCGCAGGAGCAACAGCCATAGTTTAATAGCCAGTAGCCATAATTGCCAATAATACTTAAGGATACTGTACTGTAGAGTAGTGTAGTGTATTACTATTACTATTAGGGTTAGAGACGAATTTTTGGTATAATTTTTCTACCCATTTTACTTTTAGTTCAGTTGATAGATCGCAGCCATGCATGGGCAGCTATGGATTAGTAGTTGTGATGTATTTCGCCTCCCAAACATTTAAAAATTCTCGCATTAGTCATTATATAACAGGCGTTCAATGATGGAAAATTTATACGCAGTGGCTACGCGTTCGAACCAGTCGCCTAGCCTCCAGGCTACGCGTCCGGACATCCACTCACACAGTGATCGCGCGACTCGCGTACATGCATGATTGCGCAACGGACGCTCTGCTGCCGTCTATCCTCCTTTCATCCGTCCTCTCTCGCGCGCTCTCTCTCTCTCTCTCACACACACGCACAGCTCTCTCTCTCTCGCTCTCTCTTTCTCAAACACACACACACACACACACACACACCTCTCTGAGGCTCTCTCTCTCTCTCTCTCTCTCACACACACACACACACACCTCTCTGAGGCTCTTTCTCTCTCTCACACGCATACCCACACACATACACATTCCCATTCCCTCTCTCTCTCTTTCTCTCTCTCTCTCTCTCTCTTTCTCTCACACGCACACTCACACTCACACACACACGCACACGGCAATCAGCAGAGTGCCCCATTGCAGAATCATGCGTGTACGTGTCGCAAGCTCACTGTGTGAGATGGATGTCCGGACGCGTAGCCTAGCGGCTCCTCGTCCGGAACCGGTCGCGTCACAGGCACTTGAAGCGTTTCAATAAAATATAATGCTAACTAAATACGAATGTTTCTATAGCCTATAGGCCTACTCTCTTTCACTATTATTGCCAACAGTTTCCTGTAAATTCCGTCCAAATCCTACGTCCAACGTACGCTGCCGGATGCCACTGCTCTTGCGGCGCGACTGTTGCACGCTTACACTAATATATATAGCAGGTAGGAAAGCCGGATCACAAAATTCGCTCGACGCTCGCTTGATTTCACACTTTCACAGCACGAATACAAATCCAACAGCTTCCATCTTTGTTTCTTCTTCAACAACAGTGGTCACTTGTTATAAAAACATCATGTCTCTGTTCGTAACCGAGCTGTGTCACGCGAAATCACACAAAGACTGACGAAATTCTCGCGTTCACGAACGTTGCGCGGTCAATGTAAATGTCTGCAAGTACATGGCTATAGGCGGCGCATTGCATTTTGGGAAGCACCACGCTGCTTTCCACCTCCCGTACGAGCCTCGCCATTGGAGCGTTGCAAAACGTGCAGCGTACGAATGACGCAATAGCGCCGCTATTGGGGTTTCCTGATTCCGGCAGACATTTACATTGACCGCGCAACGTTAGCGAACGCTCGAATTTCGCCAGTGTTTTTGTGATTTCGCGTGACAGAGCTCAGTTACGAATAGAGACAGTCTATATTTCTAACAAGTGAACACTGCTGTTGAAATTGAAACAAAGATGGAGTAGAATAGTTGTGTCTTTGTCTTGTAATCGTGTAAAATTTATCGAGCGTCGAGCGGATTGGAGTCGAGCGCTTTCCTACCTGCTATATATATACTAACAGTCACTGTGCACACTGAGCAATGGCGGCGTTAGTGTGTGTGCATAGAGCATTTACACGGAATTGACAGGAAACTGTCGGCAATAATAGGTGAAAGAGAGTATAGAAACATTAAGAATTTTGTAGTACTAGAATTAGATTTCGTATTTATTTAGCATTATATTTTATTGAAACGTTTCAAGTGCTTGTGGGTCGCGTAGCCACTGCCAAATTTATAAAAGTGGTGATATCTCGGTTGTTAAAAATGCTAAAGTAGGTGATTTTTCAAGCGCTATTTCTCGAAACTCGCAACTCCGATTTCAAAAAGTTTTGTTACGTTTTAATGCTAACATATCAAAGGAAAATAGGGTCCTTGGAATTTTGTTTAAATATTATATTTTATGAGTTATGGCTCTTTGTTCACGAAATTGTTGCGTTTAGAAATTCACTACATTTTTTTACATCTTTTCAACTTATTTCCTAAATAAAGCATTTAAAAAAAATTCCAGGAACATTTGTTTAGTTCATGTTATGAACAACTTATTGTTAAAAGTTTAGGTCCCAACTCTTTGCTGTTTCTGAGAAATAGCAAAAAAAACATGTTTTTGTATAAATTCACAATTTTTGCCGTTAATTAATTAGCGATGAATTAAAAAATAATAATGTTGTTGAGAGCATAGAGACTCATCTCTCGCATGTAATGGATATGAGTTTGATTGAATTTGATGAGTAGTTATGTTGCAATGCCCTTTACAGTGTTACCTGTCCGTAACCCAGGCTTACAGTATCCTTAATAGTATTCATACTTATTCTGGCATTGGCTGGCCCTTAGGTATAGTGCCTACGAGTCGTACTCGTAGGCCTACTCGTGCTCGTAAAGTTATATTATAATAGTTAATAATAATACCAAAAATAATTTATATCTTCCATAAAGCGTTTATTTAACAAGCCCATTTGGCACTTTAGCCTAGTTTAGTACAAATTCCATATTATGAATTTTGTAGATATTGTAAAACTATCGTCACCACTATCAGTATCACACCACCCACCTGCCACTCCCCTTTCATTTGGAAATTTACAACACCCACTACAACGGTTGTAGTTACTTACATCACTTGCATGAATGCAACAGTCATATTTCTTGCCCAGTAATAGCTCTAGAACTATAGCCTAGAAATAATATGAACACACATTCACAAATAGGCCCTACTACCGTACCCCTCTGTTACAGTTCCACTGTTGCGACACTGTATATCAACTTTCCTTCATAAAAACCTATGTAAAAACTAACGCCGAACGCTCCCGCACTCGCCGCGGTGAGTGTGCTGTGACGCTATGATAATAATATATATAGACATATATATATATATAATATCATATATATATATATGATATATATATATATGATATATATATATATATATATATGTATATTATTATATATATATATATATATATATATATATATATTATTATTATATATTATTATATTATTATATTCGATATATATTATTACTCTGTCCCAAGTGCCTGTGACTATATAGCCCTCCGCTCCACCGCAGGCCTGCGGCGGAGCGGCCTATCCCCTAATTTCGCTTTAACCTGGCTCTCAACATTGGAGACTGTGAATCTCCCGTGGCTCGGATGACCACGTAAAATGGCGGTCCCTGCGTAATTATCCACGTAACCGTGGGCTACGCAAAAAACTCTAGATCCAGATAATAAGGTGGAAATGCTGCTAATATTTTTTTAATGTGTGATATCTACTTTTTTAACAGAATTGTCTTGGACAGAAACTGCTCTGAAAATGGAGCGCATGGTGAAAACATCTGCAGTACTTCGCCACGCAGCCTCTCTGTTTGAGCATGCGCTTACACTAGAGGGACATGACCTCGTTGATGAACATGTTGAACTGTTCAATGCGGCAGAGAAAGAGTGGATTGAAGAGTTAGGGCCTGCTGTGGATGAAGATCTCGAAGAATTTAAAGATTATATAAGTGATACGTCACCGTAAATGGTAAAAAATGAAAAAAATATTTTTACTTTTTCAGCAAATATAAGTAATTCTGTTACATTTTATGGTTAAATTGCTGCATTATACTTTCCTATTTTACTATATTGTTCGATGTGAGCTTACACTCGTGACCCATACATACGCCATAGCAAGCAATTAATGTTAGACAACATTAATTCAAATCGTCCAGGTTTTTTGGATTTTTAACTTAGTTGAGAAACAATCTTATCCATGGTAAGAATTTCGACGATTTGTTAGTCCGTAGTTCTTACTTTTAATGTAAAAAATGGGAATTTTTTTTTTACAAATTTTCCATAGAAAATTCGTGACGTATCCCTTTAAGGAATATTATGTCGCATTGATTATGCAATGTTGGCGAATGCTAGAGTAACTGTCACCTTGTGTAGTTAATAAGTACGTTAGACCTATAGCCAAACGCGTATTAGTTTGTCAATATCACTGCTGGTTACTAAGAAATGTCTAATTGAAATCCGCAGTCCAAGAAATGTTTACAGTTTACAGTTTCACTTTCAAACCACTGCCAGCGAAGCAGGTGTGATACAGATTTATAGTGCACTGGACATTTTTGCACGCATGCTCGGCCGTACGCAATGCTATCATCAGTGATTTTGTAAACACGGACGCTCGTGATGGAACCTTTTTGTCAGGGCTGTCCATTGGCGTCGCGTGATTAGTACGTGTGTTTTACTCCATTTCCATGTTTAGTCCTGCCCTGGTTACACAGCTGACAGCTCCATTTCATCTGCATCCAAAACATACGGGGCACAAATG